GATCTATCGGAATTGTGTTTCTGGATTTGCCATCTGTAGAAAAGGATTTGCTGGGTAGGAGTTACGGTCGAGGGGTCGAGCGCGAAATAACACGAAATCCCTGTTGGTGCCTGATTGGATCGGTGGATGTGGTGTGCGGTGGGTGCGTGTCCGCGCAGCCGGCACTGTGTGCGGTGCAGGGCCATTGCGGCTGTGCGTGTGGCGCTGCTTGTGGCGTTGGTGCTGGTTGCGGCGGCGGCGGCGTGGATGCCCGCGGTGCATGCGGTGGCGTTGCGACTGCGGGGCGGCACGGTGGACAGAGCCATCACGGTTGGCCACGCCGTGGACACGGTGCTGATGGACGGCGTGTTCATCACGAACGGCGTGGCTGTTGTGTTCGACGTTGCGGCGATGCTTCCCGGCACACTGCGCATTGAATTGAGGAACTGCGTGTGCGACGGCGGTGCGCAGATCTACGTGCGGGGCTACAGCGGCGAGCCGGCGAGTGACCGGAGCCTGGAGGTGAGCGTGAGCGGGCTGTCCGGGAGCTACTGCTCGCTTGTGTTTGCGCACAACCTGCCGGCCCACACGAACGTGACGGTCCGTGACTCGACGATTGTTACGTCGGGGCCGATGCGCTACTCCCAGCTGAGCGGGCTGACGGACGCGGTGGCATCGCCGCTTGTGCTGCACGCGACGTCGCTGTTGCAGTCGCAGCTGCGTGTGAGCAACACTGTGCTGAGGTCGTTGCAGGTGGGCGGGTCTGCGGTGTACGTTGGCGGCGGTGTGGACCTGCTGTCGAGCGCGGTGGTGCTTGACGGCGTGTTGCTGGAGGCGTCGGGCGGTCCGACCGCGTCCGCGATGCATGTGGCGTCCTCGTCGCCTTTCAGTCTGCGGAGCCACTCGGTGTTCTCCGTGACGAACGTGTCGGTTGTGAGCAGCGGCGGCGGCTTTGTGCTTGGCGAGCGCCTCGCGGTGATTGATTCGGTTCTGCGCTTCGTTGGCGTTGAGGGGTCTGTTGCGTCGTCGCTGGTGCGCTGCGACGGTGGGACGGTCGGTTTCGGTGGGTGGCTGGAGCTGCACGACGTGTGGGCGGTGGGCGAGGCGTCGTCTGTGGCGTCGCTGTCGGGGGTGACGCTGAGCGACGGCGCCGTGTCGATTGCGCGCTGTGCTGCCACCGGCGTGACGCTTGTCTCCGGGCTGGCGATCACGAGCGGCGTCGTGTCGGTGCAGTGCAACCGTGCCGGCGGCCGGGTGCTGCAGAGCAGCGGCGACTACCGCATGGCCGGCCTGCCCTCCGTGAGCGTGGTGCCGTGCGACGGCTGTGCGGCTGCGTTGGCGTGCTTCGATGGACTGACGGCGTCTTTCTCCGACTGCGTGTGCGGCTGCCGTGCCGGCGGCGTGGGCGAGGCGTGCCTGCCGTTCGACGTGCCGCCTGCGAGGGCTGGCGGTGGTGGTGGCGGTGCGCAGGGCTGCGTGAGTGGCGTGACGCTGACGGAGTCGGTGACGGTTGGCGGCGGGCGTGCGACGGCGTGCTTCGACTCGGTGGTGTTCGGCGGGCCGATCATTGTGGCGGTGGACCTGCGCTCGATGGACGTGTTCGCTGACGCGCTTAACGTGACGCTGCGCCACTGCGTGCTTGCGGGCGGCGCGCAGCTGCGGATTGGCGGCCTCAGCGAGAGCACGGCGCGCTTGATGCCCCACTTCCTCGTCAAAATGACGAATGTGACGTCGCTGGAGGGCACGATCGTGCTGCATGGCGCGATGCCGCTGCACTCGAGTGTGCTGCTGGCGAACTCAACGCTGCGCGCGACGGTTGGCGGGTCGCAGTACGTGCCGACGACCCGTGGACACGAGGGATTTCGGTACGGCCCCGCGCTTGTTTTGGACGGCGTCCTGCTTCTGTCGACGCGGTTTGTCATGACGCGGTCGACGCTGTTGTGTGGCGGGGAGTCGTGCGCTGCGATCCTCTTGGAGCGCGGCTTCGGCGTGAACGTGTCCAGCGTCTTCTACATGGACAACTGCGCTGTCGTGTCGCGGACGCACGTGATGTATGCTTTTGCGTCGGACCTGCGTGTCAGCGGCGGCTCCGTGTTCTCCATACAGAACAGCTCGTGGAGTGCGCCGAGCATTAAAAGCTACGAAGGCGCGTGTGTGTTTGGGGATGTTGTTTTGGATGGCGGTAGCGTGCTGCAGGTTGTGTCCAGTAATTTCCGTCTCGGCTTCGCCATGCTCATTGCAGAAACGCTGATCGTAACTGGTGGCAGCTGGCTGGTGCACCGCAACAACGAGTTCCGCACCGCCTACGTTGTGTACGTGGCCAAGGAGAACGGCGTGGCGTTCCGCGATCGGAGTGTGTGGTCGATACTTGACAACAACTTCACGTATGGCTTGTACTCGTCGACTCATGCACAAATGACAAGCAACTGGTTACCGCCATCCGACACGCGCCCGATCATCTACGGCATGTGCAACGAGGTAATGGGCTCTCCTGTGACGGATTACCGAGAAGGTCTCAATATTGGGACGCCTGTGACGGTGTTGGACTGTGGTGCGTGCACCGTGGAGGCTGTGTGCTTCGCTGCGAGGACGAGCAGCGTCAGCGGCTGTGAGTGCGTGTGTGCTGCTGGCGGCCACGGTGACACTTGTCTGCCAGCTGCTGTTCCGGACGGCCTTGGGCCGCTCCCGCTCCCTGACGCGGAGGACACGGAGGTCCGCTGCGTGCACGGTGGCAGCATCAGCTCCGTGGACGGTCCTGATCCCGGTGTGCGTGGTCTTTGCTTCGTCAATGTGACCTTCACTGCCGCGATCGTGCTGGACCTGTGGAGCTTTGACGCGTCAGAGCAGACACTCAACATCACGCTGCTGCAGTGCGTCCTCATGGGCCTGTCGATCAGGGGGAGTGGTGCACGCGTGCACGTGAGTGTGGTCTCCTCGATGATGGATGCCGGTGATTTGGAGTTTAGAGGTGATTTTGGCAGGAGCTCCCGGATACTGGTGGCGGGTAGTACATTTGTGATGACGTCGCGCCGCGCCATTCAATGCCTGCTGTTTTCTCTCGGTGCGAACTCGACGCTACTGTTACTTGACAACCTCATTGAAGGGGAAATTTACGCAGTCTATTTCTCCTTTGTTGTTGTTGATGATGGCGGGATCATTATAAAGGGAAACACGCTGAGGGGAGCGGAGGAGGACGTTCATTTGCAATCTGCTTTTTTGTTTGAATTTGCTGTTGTGAAGAATGGTGGCTACTTTGACGTGGAGAACAACACGATGAGCGCAGCCAGTGGCATTTATTTTTATGGGGATACCACCGTGAGCTCCGCGGGGCTGCTGCGAGTGGCGGACTGCATCCTTATTGGTCTCGCACCGTTTTTTGATCCCGCGCTGGTGCATTGGGACGGCTCTTTGACACTCCAGGGTGGTGCGCAGTGGCGTGTGGAGGGCAACAGCGTGAGCGCAGCCTCAGTAATAGATATGCCTAATTCCTTGTACAAAATTAAGCTGTCGGACAGCGGCA